AGTCTGTACACCTCCATAACTGGACCCCTACCTATCACATGTATCTAGGGATTTCATTCTGAGTCTCCTAGACCACTGAATAAATAGTATATAATGTGACAAATTTAAATAAAAGTAATGGAAAATACCAGCTTTTATACAGGAGTAACTTGTATTTAAAATAGACTCTCTAGATAGATTACCTATTTAGGTTCCCCAAGTAATCATGCAAAGCCTCTGAAGGCTAGTTAACATGAAATTAGCAAGGAAACTGCAAAAGGTGTCTTTGTTTAGCTAACATGTCTGAAACAGTGAGGTCAGCCACTAATAGCTTAGAGTGGATTAGAAACAGCATGTTACTGGCCCTCAATCTGTTGCTGTAATTACTGAACTACGTGATTTCTTTGCAACAGAATAGAAGCATCACTGTACTTGGAATTCAGAGTAATAATCCAGAGACTGTAAATTCTATATACTTTAAGGTGAAAATATCTCATCTTAAAAAGAAAAAAAAAAAGAAAAGCAGAACACTTTAATAATAGTTATCAACTTAATAATAAATAGTTAACAACTTAAAAAGGGATTAAAATCCCTCTTTTAGATGTTGCAACAGCAAGCAACATGTCTTCAGATTGTACACAATTTAGGGTTCTGAAATGAGTAGAAATATGTCAATAAACAAAAAAGCAATCCTCACACTTAGGTTGCTTAACCCTGCACGTGTTTACCCAAAACGAATTAAGCAGCTACTAATCAGATTTTCAGTAGGCTGCATTTACTCACTTGCTTTCTATAGCATTCAGGATCTTGAGGATAGAAGCAAAACAATTGTCAGCTCACATTATACTGCTCACATTCACTACACAATTAGTAGGTAAAGATTAAGGCATATTTAACCTGATTTGTTTTTATAAAGGCATAAAGCCTCCTCTTAAGAATAAACAGTTTTTGTAATTACTTCATTACTTAACACAGAATACTTACCTGCTTCCACAGATAAGACTTAGAAGATATGCATTTACATTTTATACATTCAATAGTGTACAGTTTAAATTCATAGCAAAGTGGGACAAAAGTATTTGTCTCTATCAAACTATATGCACTACAAAAGGTAAACTCTCTGACCTTGTCTTTCTATGCTCTTCTACAAGCACTTATAAGTAAAATCTAGCTTCCTACAAGCTAAGTACTCCCACATTTCAAGGAATCTTTGTATGCAGCCAAGCTCTAAATACTGTTATTATGCAGCTATTAGATCTTTTATAATGCTGGTGAAAAATCTTACAGTATTATGACAAAAATTTTTGTGCCATTTGACAAATTCGTGTAACAAAAAGCTTATTAGCAACTAACTGGTGCAAGTGTTTTGTATTTATAACTAATAGATGTGATTTGTTAAAAAAAAAAAAAATCAAACAGTATTAGTTGGCACTAATTCAATATGGAAAAGAGAAGTTCTGATAATAATTGAATGTTTGAAATGTTTTTTTTTCATCTAGGCTCCGTGTCTGTTTTAAATATCAGCTGCTAAACATGGCCGTGGGACTGAAATGAGGGAGAAGCAGCATCTGTTTCAACTGTTTGGTAATTTAGCACTTAATATTGGATAATTGATTTGATGGAGTAACCATATTAATATGTAGCATTTACAATGCATTCTACATTTTTCAAAGCTGTACTCAAATAACTGCCAGGAGAACTATATGGAGTTGTTAATTCAGTCACTGTTATCCTTGTTTTAAAACAAGGGGGGTGAGCTGTAGGTATTTGGAGCGGCTAATCACACAACCAGTGCAGCAGAATCAGGATTAGAACAGAGGAATCTCTTGCTTCCTGACCCTGCTCTAATCAACTTGGCATTCTTGCCTGTCTAGACCATTCTGTATTTAACTATTAATCCTATTTCTATTGACAGAAGCTAGACCCACGTGCTTTGATTAAACAGTAAAAGTATATATAGTAATATATGGTTCTGACTGTTTCATTTTTATTGCCATCTTCTGGAGAGTTCTGTACCATATGCTTATCTTCCAAGCCCCAGTTATCATAAGACATCTATTTTTGTCTCAGTTCCTGCAAATAAGATTGTTACCCATGCACCTACTTACAGCCTGTTGCTTGAATTTAGCTTTGTGTTACGTGAGGCGTAGATCCCTAAAGGCAGAATTTGCTTCAGTGTGTTCCTATGTGGTGGCTTTTCTTGTGTATGTTATGTTAGATATGAGAACAAATCTTCCATACACACTGATGTCGTTAGAGAGGGTGCAAACATATATAAATTTATCATTTTACCACTGCTTTAAAGATAAACATTCCTCAGGCTTCCTTTTAGAGCAAAGGAAATGGCTCTGATGCCCTATTTTACTATTGCTGCTTGGACTCAACCAACAGAAATGCACAATGAAACAGTCCAGCTGATGAATTTTGCTCTTCTGTGGATGTTATTCACAGTTATGAATTCTGGGCAACCTACCATTATGAAATTCCTGCCTGGCATCTCTGTGGAGCAAAGGAAGATGAGCAGATCCCAATACATGGTAGGGAAAAAGGAGCAAGCAGGAGCAAGTGTAGTTAATGCCTGTGCTGTAAGCTCTGCCATTTGCTGCTCAGACTTCAGAGGAATTTTGAGGATAAGTTCCACAGAGGGGAAAGCAGAGTTTGGTTAATTAGAAGGCTGTAACATTTCCTCGGGGACAGCAGTCCCTGCTGAAAAACGGGATCTTCTTAACGAGGCACAAAGGAGATAATTCATGTGCACTGCTGTCAAGATCAAAAACTGCCCTCTAAAATACTGCAGGGTAGAGCAGGTTGCTCCTCTACTTTGCAGCACTCCTAGATGATTTGCAGCGGTTGCTGTATCTCACCACGTACTCTGTGCTCTTTAAACGAGGCACTGCCACGTGGGGCTTTGGAGCTGAACACGATTCACAAGGATACCGTACACCAGCTACGTACAGCTAGAGAAACACAAGCTCGAGCTGCTAAATTCTCTTTAATTCTCAGAACCTCCCACTCCGTCTGCGCAAACGCTCTTCTGCGCATACACCACCCGCTCCCTCACAGACGCTTTCCCGCGCACGCTACGCATAACGGTCGCCACGGGCACGCGCCCGCTCGGGCGCACGCGCAGTTCCCCTCAGCGTGCAGGCGGCAGCGCGCAGGCGCGCTCTCTGCAGAGCACGGCTGGTGGAGGCGGCTCTCGCGATACTTGAGGCGGGGCGACGGAGGCGAGTTTGAACGGTGGCAGCTGTGGCGGCGCGGGGCTGAGGTAGCCGTAGGGGAGCGGCAGGGTGCGGGGCTCTTTTACGCGAGGCTTTTGCTGTCTGTTTGTTATTCTCTTTCTGCGTCCTCTGACGGTCGTGGGGATGCTGAGCGAACGGGGCTGCGTGCTGCCTGTATCGTTAACGTAGCGTAACGGCCTGAGGCAGAGAGCTGAGATAGCCGCTTGCTGAGGTGATGCGCTCGTGGAGCCGGGTGCTGTCCGGTTGAAAGGTCAGGTTGCAGTCTGAGCCTTCTTTTGTCTTTGTAATACTTGTCCACCCAGCAGTGTGTGTGGCAGAAGCCAGCACAGCCCTGCAGATGGCTTGGTGGATGGTGAAGTAGAGTTGTTCGAGTAACCAAAGCAGTCTGTGAGGGGAAGGTCTGGCCTCAAAGACAGAAATTGCCTTGGATCTTACAGCTGTGGTCCAAAGCCCGTCAGTACTTCTGATCGGGTCTGTGCTTACACGGCTGCTGTGGATGAGCTGTAGGGTTGGCAGTGCAAATAGAAGGAAGATACAGAATGGAAGAGTAAAGCTTAAGTGCCTTTTTGTCTCTTGCCTAATGTTTCTTGCAAGGAGTGGTTAAATGGCTGAATAATGGGTGTCTGGACACTTCCACACTGAATCTGTTACAAAACATAGTTGAAATTAAGTGACTCCCGTAAGGGTGTAAATGGAGACAGACTTCTGTTATTCCTTCTTGCCTGCCTGCCTTGTTAACTATTGATTTAACTTGAAAAACTTCTTTTTTGAACAGTTTACTTAACCTCGTGTAGAACATGAAGTAGCAATCTATTCCCCATACTACACTATAGCCTTATGAACAACACTTCCTAGTCCAACTGAGTTCATTCAAAATAGACAGTGAAAAGTTGAGGTTCCCTGTTATCCCCAAGACATACTTATTCTTCTTCCTTGTACTCAGCAAGGAATTTGTGAATAGGGAACCAATGGGTTTTTTTAAAGCTTCAGTTAGAATGTAATTTCATAATGTCCCTCTGGTGTTATTCAGTAAGTGATCTGTTGATAACCAAAAGAAATTGTCTTTGAAACTGCACGAAATAGCAGAGAAGAGACTGTAGAAATGGATGGTAGCAAGGCAAATTCACAAGTGATCCCTAGAAATGCCATTGGTGCTGGAAGAAGGTGGCCCTGGGTGTAGCCCTGCTTCCTAACTCAGGAAAACAATTGCAGTGTGTCTTTCCTTCTGCAGCAGTGCCTGATTTAGCTTTTCCTCTAATATCTGACAGCTGTCTCAACAGAGCTTTGAGTAAGATTTGCCTTTCTGTGGGGTTTTAGCAGGTGATCTCATTTCCATGAGACACCCTCAGTCATTGAGCTCTTAAGACAGGGACTGATGTGAAGGTATCAGCAATTTGTACTTTATCTGGACTGGACAGCTGTGTTTGTTGTTTGTCCCCAGGTCATAAAGGTTAAGCAAAGCTTAAATGGACTTCTGAAGGTGAGTTAAAAATATTACTGAAATTTAATGTAAGCCAGGGGCAATTAAATTATCTGTAATCTTCACATGTTTCTGTTGGAGCAAATAAGTGATTTTATTTTTTTAATTTCTGTTTATTAGGTAAGAATTAATTAATGCCCTTTGGTGCAAATGCCTGCTGGGAGTTTTGTCTAGTTTTAGTTATGCTATCTTCTTGCCTTTAACAAGAATTACTTAAAGATTAAATTCTAGGCAGTGTGTGCGTCTTTAGTGCTTACAGTGTTCTATAGAGTGTTACAGTGTTACAGGTTCTTCTTGCATATTATGTGTAGTCAAATCTGCATCTTTTAAGATTTATTTCAAGTTAAGGGTGTAGAACAGCTATTCCAAGTACTGGAATAAGTAGACATGAAAAATTAGATTCCAAGCTTTAACATAAGAAGAAATTAGGGAAAACTAATACTGATTTCCATCTTGTCCCTGTGAAAGGAACTCACGGGGTTCTGATGCAGTGGTTTTCTGTCTGTTAAAATGGTATCTTATAAAGGAAGCTGAGGAACTTTAGTGGGGTTATTTTTGGAACCGCTTGTAAAGAATGAAGACATTACACTGAAAATTTACCTATAGTCTTTACTGTATTCACAAGTGAAATTTGCTCTGTGTTAAGACCAGCATCTTGTGCATAGAATATCTCTCTGTATGTCAGCCAGTAGGAATGGAGGACAATGTGATTTTTTTAAAGTGATATAAAAAATTAGGAACATTGGCTCTGCAAAGTTGACTGTAGTTTTTGTATTATTGTTACTGTGTGCTTTCTGAGAAAATGCTTAGCTTACATGGTTCAGAAGCTCGAGTTACTTAGAGATCTCTGTTTTAATGGGATTGTTTTGTACTGCATGGATTTAGTAGGCTTAGGGGTAAGCAGTTGTGCAAGCAGTTGGTGCAAGTTTGAATTGAACTTTGAACTTTTTAAATATTTTGCTTGGATTCATTTTTTTTCTTCCTGAAAAGTAGTCCTTTACTTATCCCTTATGTTTTGATATGAAGATAAAAAAAAAAATTAATGAATTTTCTAAAACTTGTGACAGATAGATGGTTAGTAAAAGTAGGTTACCTGAACTAACTTGTTTAAAGCTAATAACAGTCATGAGAGACAAAATTAAGCACTTAAAATCTTTGTGTTAAAATTCCATACATTTTAATCTGGACTTTACTTTTTACTTTTCTTCAACTGCCTCTGCCTATTTCCATGTCCTACTTGATGTCATTAGGAGTAAAACATTTGCAAATACAACTGCCTGCATGCATCTTAAGTGTTATTGTGTGCACATGGTTTCATTTATGATACTATGGAAGACATCAATCACATGAATAACTGTAGCCTTCTCTGTCAAGATAGCTGTGTTGGGTATCTCTGATTCTGCTGAAGTCGCTGTGTTGTCAGGAACTGCCCTAGGGTATGTAGGACTTGTTTCACCATATGCTGTTCCTGCTCTGCAGTCATGACCAAGTTGACAAAGTAATCATTTTATTATTCAGAGGACTGCTTGTTAGAAAGCTAACTACTTTTTGTCTTGTACTGATGCAAGCATACACCTCTGTATCCTAGTAAAGTACGGAAATACAGTAACTTTGTTCAGTTGAACTGCTGTAGCGGGTTGCTATTATTGTAATTATTTTTTCTTTTCAAATTGAGGTAATAAAAGGAAGAAAAAATGGAGACAGAGACCATTTTAAATCTTAGACAACAACTGAAAGAAGCAGAGAACGAGCGAAGGAAGGCTGCACAATATGGCTTACACTTGTTGGAGTCTCAAAATGAAATTCAAAATCAGTTGGATCAAATGCGTCGGGAATTAACAGAGAAGACTGAGGTGAGGCTTTTAACTTTAAGTAAAAGTCTAAGAAGTTACTTCTATTTTTTGAAAGTCACAAGTGTTTTAAATGCCTTCTAGAATTTCCAGATGGATTTTAATTAAACTTCTTATTTTAAATTTCTTATTTAAGTATTGGGAGGGTTTTTGATCATTGTTTTAAGATACTGAGCACAGTTTTATCTAGCTGGGCATGGTTTCAGAGCTCATTCTGTGTCAAGTGCTCAATACCACATAGGATTAATCAGCAACTACTATTCATTTTAATGAGGTGAAGCGTGTGTGTGTGTGTGTGTGTGTGTGTGTTGGGTCTATTTAACAATTGATTTATGTTATGCTTGCCTTGCAATCTTTGTGTTGCTTAAAGCAACAAAGCAAAGAAGGCTTTGGACCAGCAAGGTGGTGAAGTTGGTTTCATTTGCTGTACACACTTCAAATTTTCTAAATACCAGAGGACTCTGAATTTTAGTACATATCTTTACAGCTTAGAAATATCTGTGTGTTAAAATATAGTAATATTAATTAGTCTTCCAGTCTTTTAGGTAATTGTGAAAGAAAATTAAGTGTAAAGAATCTTCTCCACTTTGTTAAACGGTTTAATTTTGACTTGTGTATTCTCAGCCTACACTTCAAATCTTCTGTTTGTCTTTATTTGCTCCTAGCTGTGCATTGCTGTCTCTTCCCCTGTGCTAGAGCTAAAATTGTATTTATCTTCTGGCTAGCTCTTGTGTTGTAGCACCCTGCTGTTGTGGAGGAGCACTAATAACTTATTTTGATTTAAACCATTAGCTGGCTTAGTGCAAGAGAAGCGGTTGGAAATTACAAGTGATAAAGAAGGCATAACAGGACGATCCTTCTGCAGCCTGCTGTGGTACTCGTCTGTTGTGAAGCTGCACCCTTGGATTGCGTTCCACCCCTATAGACTTGAGCAAATCTGAGCTAGGCTTGTGTGAACTAGATCTAGATCAGTAAGGAACTTCAGTTTCAAGGGCTGGGGGAGGGAATTGTGTGCTTTTGTATTGCACAAAAACGTGTGAAAATTGTGGTTATCCAACAGATAACTTAGTAAATGGTTTCTGCATTTACCTGTGGAATCTGAGAACCAAAACAATATTCATGGATAAAAATGTGAATTTTAACAGTAGTTACAAGATACTTCAAAGATGTTTGCATGCACTTCTGTACAAGTCCATTTAAGTATTTGATAGCAGTAGACTTCTTGATTTCTGTGGGTCTGCACTACAGTGCATTGCCAAACACTGTCTTTGTTGAAGCTTGTTCTATGTATTCAGGTTAAATCTGTCCTTGATAAGCAGGTGTCTAGGCTGTAGGGATGGATTTAATACCTGACAGGTCTCAGTTTTATGTTCTTCTATCTTCTGATTTGTCTTTAAGATTTATTTATTAATAAAACATCCTGAACTTGTAGACTCTGTTGGTGATTTATCTTTTCTACGCTAGTGTTTTCTTCTCCTTCTTCTGCTTAATGGCTAGCTGAAGGAAGAGTACATTGAAGGAGATATCTCTAACTTGGCATAGAGGGGGAAGGTAATTAGGAAGACGTTTTTCAATCTGGACAGGCTCATAGGATTTATCACTATTTATTATCACACTTATAACACTAGGAAATTTTCTCTTTATTAGGCATAGAACCCAGTGTTCTGCAGCAGGGGGACATAACAGCTCTTAATGCAGTTGGATTTCATCAGTGGTAGAAATACAACATGTGAACTCAAAGTTCTGTTTAAACCTCTCCCTCTCTTTCCCCCCACACTCCCAAAAAGAAAATTACAAAATTTTCGAGACTATTTTGAGTAGGAAGAAACACAGTTTCCACAGAGGAGAGAATACTGCATAACCCACTAGCAATTCAATCATAAAAATTCAGAGTGGGGGTTTGAGTTTTCCTACTCCTTGTTAGTAGGGCATGAGAATTCCCTAAATAGAACTTCAGCAAAAGGTTGAGTGAATTATGGACTTTACTCAGTGAATTGTTCTCCATGAACATTTTGTCTAGACTTATTAGCATATTATTTCTTTCAGAAATTTGAACAGGAGAAATATTCTCTTCAGAGAGAAATTGAACTTAAGAATAGGATGTTGGAAAGCCTGAGTTTTGAATGTGATGCCCTCAAGCAACAGCAAAATGTGCAACTGGATAAACAGAAAGAACAGCTTACCAGAGTTCATGGACAAGAAGTCAATGACCTTAAATGCAAGGTTTGGTATCTAACATATAGATAAAATGTTGCTAATAGCACTTGATAAAGAAGTATTATACTCATGAGTGTGTACTTGTCACCAGACCAATTTAACAGTTGTATTGTGTAGTCATGCTTTAGTTTGCCATGTAAGTTCAGCAATTCAACTCTGAACTGAGCTTATGTTTTATTTTCAGCTACTGTTATAAAAGAGTTAAAATTATCATGATGACTTTTATTCAAATCAGAACTTGAATAAGCACTTCAGGGAAATAAGGCTGAAGTTGTTGATTAAAGAGCAGAGTAAATGCATTCTTCAACTTGTTTAGTTATGTGACAACATTCTTTGACTATTGGCATTAAGACGAGAGCTCATTTAGTTGATATTTAACAATCAAATCTACATAGCTACACTGAACTGCATCTGATTTTAAGTTTTACTTTTAAGAACTGACCCTTAAGTTGTACTTATAAGGCATTTCTGCAATTAGAATGTAAGCCAGAAGCATTGTGCTTTTGACTATTTTATTATAAAATGAGTTTACTTAGTTGTCAAATGTCTTTAAGTTGGAGAACCTGAAGGCAGAACTAGATGAAACTCGGCTTTCTGAGAAACAACTGAGACACAAAGTGGACCATCAGAAGGAAATAATTGCTGCCAAAACAGAAGAGCTACACATGATGTCTGAACGTGTGCATGAAACCATGTCTTCAGAAATGCTCAATCTTCAGATGGAGCTCACAGAACTAGAAAGTGTGAAGGTATGTGATTTAGCAATTGATTAACAGGAATGTAAGCTACTTGAAGGTAAAAATTCTGATTCTTTTCTCACTGAGTTTTTAATTGCTGTGTATATTTTGCTAGCTGAATTGGACTTGTAGTAAGAAATTATCCACAAAAAAGCACAATAGCCTTAAGTATATTTTAATATAATCCCTTCAACGTAATATTTTTGCATTAATGGTAGTTACTAGCAACAAACCTGTTTGGCTGCTTGGCCTGCTTACCTTTAAGCTGTTTAATAAACTTCTTATTTCATGCTTGATTTTTGTATTTAGGCCAATGTTGAAGAAAAGCTGAATGAACTGCAGTACAGCAAAGAACAACTAGAACTCATAAATAGTAACTTACGTAATCAGCTGGAGCGTCTACAAGCAGAAAAAGAAGAGAGGGAAAAAGAAGTTGTTTCTTACTGTAATGCACTAGAGGTAATTTTATTCAACCGTGCTGAATAATCTGGAGTTCAACAAGTAGCTGGTGCTAGACTTTCGTTGAAATAAGAAGAGGAGCCCTGAAAGGAGTTCTGAGAGGGAGGAGGAAAGAGAGAGGATGTATTAGCTAAATTATGCTTAGTATATCAATGTTACCTGTAAATAAGTTTATTTCTATACTGATGTTCTCTTGTGGAAGGCTATTTGTGAAGATCCTTTGCACTGCAATATTCTGCCTCATAAGAGGAACTTGTAACAGGTCATGTATTTCCATTTCTATTTCACATTCCTGCTGAATGCCTTGTGAAATCCTGCGCTGGGGGTAGAAGTTATGTGACTCAGTATCAAGAAAGGCTGGTAGTCTGCATCATCATTCCAGCTGATAAAGGTCTGAGTCTTTCTATCAAGGGTTTAGTGAAGCTCTTATCTGGAAGAGCAAGTGGAATACTAGGCCTTCTAGTGCAACAACTTCCACAGTCTTTGTGTCTAGAACTCCATATCAACCAAATGCTACGGTATGAGTTAACTTGTGCTAAATACCTAAGAAATTAACATATTAAAACAACTTGATTAAATTATTATGAATCTGATGTATTGCATATTAAAATAATGCTCTCCTTGCTTAAATCTAGAAAGCTCGTGAAGCTAATCAAGAGCTTCAGGTTCAGCTGGATCATGTGGTGCAGCAATCTTTGGACCCTACAAGTAAAGGCAATTCTCTCTTTGCTGAGGTACAGCTATGCCGTGGGTATCTGAGAATATTCAGAGGGAAGATAAACTTCATCATAAGAATAGGAACTTGTTTTCATTGCAACACCTGATTATTTTTAAGTGATCTGTCTGGCACAAGTATCTGTTCTTCAAATAATCCTTCAGTATTGAATTGTCTGGGAATGCCTGTAGAAAAGAATTTTTATGCATTTTCTAAGGTTGGGGAGTGAAGTTGACTGTTTGTCAAGATGAAAGATGGCAGTCTGCAGCTCTTGGCTCTGAAGAGTTTTGTTCAGCTGGTAATCTTTCTTTAATGCAGAAGATAAATGTTGAAAAACCTAAATACTGTTTTTTTTAAAGCTGTTGAAAAATGGCTGGATGTTTGAGCGTTTGGCGGGGTTTGTGAACTAGCCTTTGAATAAGAGTTGAGCTGGTATTGAAGAGTTGAGCCTTTTCTGACTGTGCTCAGTGAATGGCTTGAATTGATGCACTGTTCATATTTATTTTATATTGCTTGTTCCGATTTAAATCAGAACAAATCTGTAGTAAAGCTGATGCTTTTAAAATATTAATCCAGTATCAAAAGCACAAAGAAATCTCTTGTGCTTTACCAATGGCCTTCAGCTGCTTGCAACGCTGTCTACTCACTGTTTATCTCAAAAGTGATTCTATTAGCACACTGCTGATGGGGAAGCAGTATTTTCAGAATCAACATCAATTTCTAGGCACCTTCTCTTGAAACTCAGAATCCAAGTGACAACATGTTATTGTTTTCATAGTAATAATTGTGAAAAATGTTCTGTAGGTGGAGGACCGTAGGGCAGAAATGGAACGACAGCTGATCAGTGTGAAAATAAAATATCAGTCACTACAAAAACAACATGCATTCACTAGAGAACAATTGCAAAGAATGAAGGTATGATTATCACTGTAATGCTCCAGGGTTTCCTTGGGGTCATATAAGACAATGCTTTAGAATGTAGGCTAGGAGGTCTGATTCTCTTTCAAGTATAGTAACAGCAGTCTGGGTGGATGGGTGGGGAGGAACAGGAGACATGTCATTGCTATTCAACTCAAGTAGAGCGCATCAGTCTTTTTCCAGTGCCACTACTTTATTCTAGAATGCCAAGTTACACTGGAGGAGCTGCACTTACTTTAGCAGTAGTTGTTTACTGGGTAAAATATAACAGTTTCTGTCAGTCAAACTAGCTTTCAGTTTGTCTTGCCTGTTGCTTTGTTTTTTGTTAGTATGCCTAACTTATTTGTGTTTTAATTGAGGTTATTAGGAGTAAACAAACTTAACTTCCTCCTGTGATCACACCTTTTTCCCTTTCAGTTGCTTTCTTGGTGTTTTCTTCCTACTTTTCCTTATACTCAATGCAAGAGCAAGAGTTCTACGTTTTTCTCGCAACTGTTTGTTAGCCTGTTTTCTTAGGTTGGCAGCTTGTAAGTTAATAAATGTTGTTGAGAAAGCTAGTTAGCAGAAGCTGTTTTGCAGCATCCCATTAATCTTGTAGAACTGCCATCTGTTTTCATGTTGGCTTTCTAATCTTACAGTACAGGAGTGGATTCTTTGAGTTTGATCATGCATCTTGTCTGAGAACAGTGCTGAAACATAAGTGATGAGTAGCACTGCATATATAGATGTGTAGCTTAACTGAAGTTGAAAGTAAGTAAAATGTCTGAATAAGATCAGTTATTTAGAATCTCCCCTCCTCCTTGTGTGGTATGGAAGACAGCCATTCAGCCAGTTATGAACATTATATTCTGAAAGGCTTTATCTGGGACTGAAGTAAATTGGTATCCTTGTTCTCTTAATGTTGGTATTTATAATTTCAAAAATGGCTCAAGCTGCCTTCTTAGATCGCTTTTAGTATCTCTTCTGTTTTGCATTGCATTGTGCTGCTGTGTTAAAACTCACTGTCGAATTAACTGATCTCTCCTTGTTCAGTAGCTGACTCCAATAGTTAACTGTGTCGTTTGAATATTTGAATGTGGTATTGGCTGATAAATTGTGAGGATCTGACTTAGGATCACAATGTGAATGCTACTCCCATAGAGGTTTTCTCATGTCTGGAGCATTCCCATAGCTTGCAGTAGCCCTTCCAGTTTCTTAATTTTTCTTGTTTTTTATGTAGATGGACAGCAGTTGTCAATTTTGACAGTTAGCAAATGAGCACTTAAGTGAAGTGCAAACATCAGGATTCTACATCCTTGGGAGAAAATAAGTATGCTTCTAGTGAGCTAGTGTTGTGTTCCCCTTTCCTCTTGTACAAGTTACAAGGAGGAGATTGAATTGTTTTTAATTCCAGTTTGAACACGTAACTGTTAATATCCTTTATTTTCTATTTGAAATATAGAAGATGGTGTAGGGTAAATGTTCTTCTGCAGTTTTCTTTGCTAATCTGCAATCTAACTTGCTTCAGTTGATCCTTTCCCTGGGGCTTCTCCCAAGTGTCTTTCAGTGTTGTTCTATCCATGTTGACTTGTCTGGTGAGAATGCTACAGTTCCTATTAACACCATGTTGCACATGTACATGCCTGCATGTCCTTTTTCCAGTTGTTTGAATGCTTGATGTGCCATTTATTACTGACTGTGTTAAGGACCTTGTATCGTATTGCTGTGATACTACGTGTCAGAAAAATCTGCTGTAAATATGAGAGTTGAATACACTTTTCCTTTTCCTGCGCTTGGAGGGGTTACGTTTTGGGATAAGTATTACACAATATAAACTTAAATTATCATCTATTCCTCAGAATTAAAAATGCAAAAAAATAGTTATGTATGTTTTTGTTTGCTTTTTCTTAACTTTTTGGGGTGTGGAAATATCTTAAGTGAGAAATTCTTCATGGATATGTTTAGCTCTTAAGAGGCTGGGCTGTGGTGGGGTTCTTAACGTGAAAGATTGTGTACAACTTTGGCAGCATATTTGTAGACTCCTTAGTCATTGAGGAGGAAGATAGAACACCTTGGGGCCATAATGAGTTCAGGAAGGCCTTATCTGTCTGGAGAACTGTTAGTATTTGCATTGTCTTAGGTTGGCACTGGTTAATTGTCAGAGGTGCATTTAAGCATCCAGTGCTGTTCTGTATTCACAGTTAGCAGCACAGGGCTTGGATATCCTAAGCTTTCAAGGAAAGAGGATAATATTTTCCTAATGCAATGCTTGTTCTAAAGATTTATTACCCTTTTTTCCAGCTGCAAATGGCTACCCTGCTACAGATGAAAGGTTCTCAGGCAGAATTTGAGCAGCTGGAACGCTTACAGTCAATGTTGGAGCAAAAGAATGGTGAAATAGAAGATCTTCTTGTGAAAGTGAGGCAACTAGAAAAATTCAAGGTATGTGTTCTGTGATTTCTTTGATTAAATGAAGTCACACAATTGGGAGAAACATGATATTTTTTCATAGTTTTTCTCATATGTGAACTTGATAGGTATTTATTTTTCTCCGTACCATAAATAGTCAGGAAAGAAAAAGATTGTTTCAAATAGCTATCAGAAGTACTTGTATCTGTTCACTGATAAGAGATTCTGGGATCTGTGGGACAGTTTCAAATCTGAGTAGTGTTTTCAAATAGCAAAACAGAAGTGAGCCTAATGTAACACGATACTGATGTATGTTATTGAACACTTGCTGGACCTGTAATGTCTTCAGTGTGATGTAAACTTCTCATCTAAAAATTGTAAATGACTTTGGCTATTGAGTAACGTGGTTTGTCCTTTACTTTTGAGTGTCCAGCTGTTGGAGCTTAGAAATAAAGACTTGAAGCAGATTTTTCAAGGGTAAACTAAACATTCTGTGTTTTCAAGTAAAAGAGGGGGATAATATTTTACAATTCTATTTGGAAACCTTTGGGGTTTGGGAGTTTGCTTCTTAATTTTCTTCCTCTCAGAGAACTGCTAGTTTCAATGCAGTTTGACACTTGTAGCAAGTTCTTCTGAGCATTCTTGTATGTGTAAATGTTTCTACAATGAGGCTTCAATAGAGAGATGCACAGGGAGCTTGACACAAGTACTAAATTAATGTAATTCTGAAAGTTCACTAGTTAACAGCTGGATGTTTTCATTTCATGAGACTTTATATGAGAATATGGAAGAATGTAGAGCTAGTAGCAGCTCAAAAGGAGGAGAGTCTGAAGATGGTTACTACGCTGACTTGCTGCAGATGAAACTTGACAACTCAAAGTAAGTTAAATTGAGGTAGAAACTTTAATAGCACTTATTAAATAAGCACTTTAATACTGTTTTGTCTTCCTACTGGTGAATTTTTAAATGTGAATTTTATTTAGAGTGGTTGAATGTGTACTTGACTCTGTACCTGCTGTCTGAAAAAGAATGTCTGAATGACTATATTTTCTTCCCACCCAGCAAGGAAACCGAAACCTTGAAAAATGAACTGTCTTTGCAGAGGATGAAAGCTTTGTATGAGAGCCAAAGGGTTCTGGAAGTTGAAAGAAAACTCTTTACAAATGAAAGGCATTTGCAAGCTTGTCAGAGTGAGAACATGAATTTGCGAGTTATGCTGGATGAATTAAAAATGAAATATGAACCTGAAGGTAAAAAGTTTTTTTCCATACAGAGGAAAAAAAAATTGGTTTCCTCAACCATCCTGTCCAATATTGTTTATACACGGATGTAACATACTGCTCTTTAAAAAGTAGCCCTTTGATAACCTGGTCCAAAACTGCTGAACTGAAATAGTGAAGCCCTACCTTACTCAAGAATCTTACTTCAACATGTATAGTAACATGAATTTTAAGAGTCTGAAGAGCACAAGTGTTGTGTTCTGAGGCTTTAGAGTGTAGGTAGCTAAGCACAGTGAAGTATATGGGAACAAGTATGATGCCAAGCTGTGGGGTGCAGTTGGCACACCAGAGGAACAGGCTGCCATCCACAGCCCCCATTACCATTACAAACTGGGGGATGAAAGGATTGAGTACAGCCCTACTGAAGAGGATCTGGGGGTACAGGTAGATGGGAAGCTGGACATGAGCTGGCAATGTGCCCACGCAGCCCAGAAAGCAAACTATATCCTGGACTGCAACAAAAGTGTGGCCAGCAGGGCGAGGCAGGGGATCGTGCTCTTCTGCTCTGTGCTGTGAGACCTCACTTGGAGTACTGCATCCCATCCAGATGTGGAGTCCTCAGTGCAGGAGACATGGATCTGCTGGAGCTTGTCCAGAGAAGAGCTACAAAAACAGTCCCCAGAGTGGAACACCTATCTGAGGTCAGGTTGAGGGCTGGGGTGTTCAGCATGAAGAAAGGTTGTGAGGTGACCTGATAGCATCCTGTCGGTATCTAAAAGGGAGCTACAGGAAAGAAGGGGACAGACCCTTTAAAAATTTAGCAGGGTCTGTGGTGATAGAACAAGGGGGAAATGGTTTCAAGCTCAAAGAGGGTAGATTTAGATGAGATAGAAGGAAAAAATAATAGGGAGTGGTGAGGTACTGGAACAGGTTGCCTGGTGTTGTGGTTGATGCCCTGGAGACTTTCAAAGTCAGGCTGGATAAAGTCCTGGGCAATCTGTTGTAGCTGTGGTGTCCCTGTTCGTTGCAGGGAAGTTGAACTAGATGGCCCTCAGGTCACTTCCAACTCTTAGGGGTTCTGTGATTCTGAGTTCTGAGGAGGTATTTATACAGACTGGGCAAAGAACCCCTTGAGAGCAGCCCTGTGGAAAACGACTTGGGGATCCTGGTGGGTGAGAAGCTGAACATGAGCCCGGAAGGCCAACTGTGCTCTGGACTGCATTAAAAAAGGGGTGGTCAACAGGGAGAGGGAGGTGATTGTCCCCCTCTACTTGGCTTTTGTGAGGCCCCATCTGCAGTACTGCGTCCACATCTGGGGCCCCCAGTACCAAAAGGACATGGAGCTCTTGAAGTGAGTCAAGAGGAGGGCACTAAGATGAACAGACAGCTGGAGCACCTCTCCTGTGAGGAAAGGTTGAGGGAAGGCTCTGGGAAGACCTCATTGTGGCCTTCCAATACTTGAAGGGAGCCTATAAACAGAAGGGGGAACAGCTGTTTATGAGGGTGGATAGCGACAGGACAAGGGGGAATGCTTTTAAAATGAGACGGGAGGTTTAGGTTGGATATTAGGAGGAAGTTTTTCACGCAGAGGATGGTGATGCACTGGAACAGGTTGCCCGAGGAAGTTGTGGATGCCCCATCCCTGGAGGCATTCAAGGTCAGGCTGGATGTGGCTCTGGGCAGCCTGGTCTGCTGGTTGGTGACCCTGCACATAGCAGGGGGATTGAAACTAGATGATTGTTGTGGTCCTTTTCAGCCCAGGCAATTCCATGATTCTGTGATACATGTATAGCAGTAGTTGTAGGTATCTGTTGATGAGAAGTATTAGTTTGCTGAATGCAGGCAGCTAATCTGAGCTTTGTAATGTATGTGAAACAGTTGGAGGAAAAGCTGTTTAGGAGTGTAAGTTACTATAGATGAAGTTTTGACGAGAGGTCCACCTGAAAAAACATCTGATATCTGCCTTTCTGCAGAAACAAAGGACTTGTAGTCTCTGGAGGAAAATGAGTGAGGAGTAGGTTGGACAAATTTGTTTTAGTACGCTTGTCCAAATCCAAAGGCTTTAATTTTTATTGTATTTGTGAAGCTTATGTCAGCAGCCTCCGGAACGGTAGATCTGGTGTTTTGCAAACCTACTTCTGTTGCTCTGCATTGTTACTGATAATATTACATGAATGCATTCTCTTGAAGGGATGTATGTTATCTCTTAAGAATTGTTGTGAGGCCTTAAGTCAGGTGAAATGTTCTTTACTGGCTTTAATGGCTGTTATGAATGTCATGTTAGACAAGTTAGACACAAAGTTATCTTTGTGTACATAAAGTACACCTCTTCTGTTTTTTTCCCTTAGAGTTACTTAAAGTCACTAAAATTAAAAAGAAAAGGGAGAAGATTCCAGTGGATGCTGCTTGTGAATATTTAGACAGCAAAAATACTTCAGCAAATGAGGTTCCTCTCGCTCATCTTCCAAGTAAGGAGGAAGCTAAGATGACTTCAAGTAACTCAGAGCAAATTGATTCTTCATCCAAAAAACAAGCACTCGAAGCATCACCAATAAATGTAGCTCTTCAATCAATGGACAAAGCAGTAGAACCTGAAAGAGAAAGAAAGAGAGTTAAAACTAAAGATGATAATCTTGACACCTGCACGTCATACAGCAGAAGCGGAAGTAATTTTTTGACTTCAAGTGCCCCCAGGTCAGTGTCAACTTCTGTGTATGGTCAAGGCAATCAGCACAGACCTGCATCTCTTTTCTTTCGCTGCATGAACTATGCTATCCACTTGTTTATCTGTTTCCTCAGTGTTGCATGCAGTGTAATTCCTAAGCTCCGGCTGCCTACCTTTAACCTCCCAAAACCTTTTAGAAAGATTAAAATGGTGGTTTATGAAAAGGACTCTTGAAACTGTAACTGTTCTTGAAATAATGTTAAGGTCAAAGGTGTGTATATGCTGTTACAACTCAGTTGTTTTGCTTTTCTTTCAAAAGTCAGACTGTTTTCTGTCATATAACTGCATTGCTTCTTAAGGTTTAAAAAAACCCAAACAATAGGTATCATGCTTTAGTTTATACCTTATTCTAGCCTTCCTCAATTTCATATTGAGATAAAAACCTAAGAAAAAAACAAGTAATTCTTAATCCAAATAAAGCTAACAGAATTTGCAGTATGCAAGATTACGTATAAATTGTGCTATGAATTCATATTACCAGGCCACCGACTTTGCTCACCTGGATGCGTGATAACTTGAAATGTAACTGTTAAAACTAAGTTTTTTTTCATAAATGGAGAATGAGGTTACTTCTTGTTACAGTGACTTAAGGCAGTAATCAGAGAACATCTAAATTCTGATAGAAGGAATGCTGTTTCTTTTTCCCCCTCAATTCCCCTTTATCTCCAATTTATAGACATCACTGTATTAAACCTAGTACTCTGGGGGTAATTTCTGGGATACTTTAGATGTTTTGAGCTTATGAATTGATAATATTTAGTAGCAAAAATAATGCTTGTGTGCTTCCATTGTTTCCTACCCCCTTTCTTCCTAGATTTTTTTCAACTTTTAAGTTGTGATTGTGCATCTCTAATGTGAGCACATAAGAACTTTAAGTTATCATTCAGGGAGAGAGCAATAGAATGTTTGTCAGGAATACACTGATAAATAATAATAATAAAAAAAGGTCCTTTCATTCAGCTTCCTGATGGTTCATTTTCTTTGGTTTTTCATGTAACACCGATATGAGGCTGGAGATAAAAGAATTACTTGAAAATCTAGAGTGTCTTGAAGCCTAAAGCATCCCAGTCTAGAACTGTTTTGTCTGTCTGTTCCACACAATCAAGCTTAACACAAACACGTTTTTTTATCTCCCTCCTTTAATGTGTATTTTGGCTGTTGTTTACAAGATTACTTACTGAGTTCTCCATAGCAGTATTTTTTTTTTTTACTCACTAGATTCCATGAACCTTCCAATGAGACCGAGATGTGCCAAAATATTTACTCTGTTTTTAGATATTAAGTTTGTGTTTAGTATACAGAAAGCTTTCTCGATAGGTGACTTGTTATGGGACAAATTGGAGATGCTTACAGCATCAACAAGAAACTGTTTCCTAACATTCTTAAAAATAGCAGTGTTACTTGAGTTGGGGTTTAAATGTGTTGACTGAGAGAAATGGCGTCATGATGCTGAACATTCAGAGGGTGTGTTTGTTCCAGAACAGCATGAAACATGGTTTGAAACATGTTTCAGTTTTGAAACAAAACTGAAGAAAGTTTAAAGATTGTTTAGGGTAGGACTTATGGTGAGGAGAAAATGTTCATATGAATAACATTTCAGGTCATATCAACAAATACCTTTCAGACCAGTGGAATCTAGATTGACAGCAGCTTCCAAGATGGAGAAAGGCCTGCTGCCTGAGTTGTGTACAGTAGATCCAAAATTGCATTCAGATGTAGTTGATTATTTTGACTTAGATCAATTGTTCATGGCTGTGTTGGATGTAGTTAAGAGGTTTGGAGGAACTGCACAGTGTAGTCTTCTGAGGCAGTCTGCATAAACTGAGTGAAGGAGCAGTTGAATGAGCTACAACAGTGTATGCAGGGACCCTTCCTGAGGAGGAAAGAGCAGAGAGGTCAGGCATGGGTGCAAAATGTTGAGAGGAGAGATTTATGGTATTCTCTATGCATAAAACAACAACTGTGTGAATTGGGCAGGAAAGTGTAACCTTATTTTTGAATATTTTTTTGAAGAAGATGATGAAATGTCTGCAAGCAGTAAATTGTTGGAAAAGGGTTATGTGGACTGAGGAGGTAAACTTCTTCTGAGCTGGAGGGGGGTTGAGGAAAGGAAAATGTTTTATGGCACTGATGTTTTGGAAGTATAGGAAAGTATGGGAAAGAGGATGAAGCTGTAGTTCAGACAAAGATTTTAATCTTGCACACATTAGGAATAAAGTATAATGGGGAGGAGGGAAACATCTTTCCAACCCTCCATAAATCCACCTACACATCTCATTTTGAAATGATAGTAGAGCGAGTAAAAGGTAAATCACAAAAGAAGATTCTGGGCATGTTTGACATCATATCAATAAAATAGCAAATCCCCAACTAATCATCTTCTTAAGCTACAGTTGAGGATTTCTTAAACCCTAATATTTTATGCTATATTAAGTAGGAAATCTTGATAAAATCTGGGTATTTGAGAAGCTAATTTCTTAAATAAAGAATCACTAGAGTGTTGTGTGATGCATGTGGGTAAAACCCTTAAAAGGGTCATTGCTAAATGGAAGGGGGCAAAAAGTGTGGGCAAATCTTTTTGTGCAATAATGTGGCAGTGTGTTACAGTTGCCTGGAATGGAATTCCAGAACTGGAGCATTAACACTTTAACTCCCAGTGCACTGCATGATGTTATGATGTGGAATACTGAAAAGCAAAAAACACAAAACCATGACACCTACTATAGTGGTTTGTGAAATAAATGATACACTGTAATACTTAAACCTTAAGTATAAGCTTCACTCAGTGTGTGCACTTTGTCTGTGACTCAGTTGTGAAACTTGCAGCTAAACTGCTGTGATATCAGGTAGTCTTCTGAATACGACTTGAGCTTTCTTGAGGGATGTATGGGGGAGGAACACTGAATTCTGTACTCAAGCACAAGAATTGGACTGTATGTTAGAACTGAAAAATAAGAGATGTCTTGTGATGCTCCTGAGAAGCTGCTAGGCCAAATTCCCGATGAATTTGGTGACTTGAGCAGTCAGCAGAACAGTCCAAGTGGAAAGTACAGGGGAGCATATGCTGAGTAGTGTTACTTTTTATCAGCTCGTTGCGCATTAATGAGCAGTTGTGTTTGTACCTTCAGGAAAACTGGGAATAGAATAGTAACTTTGAACTGACTTCAGCTGTTCCCCAGGTTACAGAGAGCATTAGCTTTCTCTAAAACTTTTAGGTTAAAAATCTCAATCTCATTCCATGTATCCTGGTATAACAGGGGTTTGGTTAAGGGAATGTGAAGTCTCCACTTTGGTAGGTTACGTAATTTTGAATGGTTGTTCTTAAACTGCTTTTCATTTGCTTTTCATCTTAGCAAGTGTGCTTCAGGGTTCTTTTAAATGGCTTTCTAATATTTACCATAGGAACATAGAGTATCTGTGTCGAAATAACGTCATGGCATTAAGATGAGAATGTTGCTCTTAAGAGTTCTATCCAGGAAGATGATATCCCTTGAAATCTGAGTTAATGCAACTCCTGTAACTTTTTTTTTATAACCTGTAGTGGAGAAAAAAACTCTTGCCTGTAATTGCCTGTAACAGTGGATGGATTTCTGTGATGAATACATAACGTTATGCCCTACTTGCTCTCTGACTGAAGTATATTCCTAGATGTGTCTTCAGTGTAGATCTAAAGTGAGGTATTTAGTGGATGACTTCAAAAGTACTAAATACAGATTTTAAATGTATTTGAGGCTCCTGGTAACGGCAGTAGAGGTGTTTCTATGATAGGTAGCAGTCATGGTTGAGTGTATCAAAAGAGTAGGGGAGTTTTCTGGGATGCCAGAGATATTTACTGGTGTTGTCTTCATGTTCTTTATGTAGCTTGCAAAAACCTTTTCCAATATCACTGCCAGTCTGGGTAGTCATTGCTTCAGGCATTGTAATAACTTGATGCTGCATTGGCATTGCAGTGAACCAAGTGGGGGAACTGATCTAGCTGCTTGGTTTCTGTTTCCAAACTCTAAAAAGGGATTCTGACCCTCTGAGAATATGCAGTGTTGAGGCTCTAGTTGGGTTTGGTTTTTTTGCCGTTTTAAAAACAAACAAAAATGCCGAAGCTGGGAGTCCCCGAAGGGGTGGTGGTGTGAAATGTTACACTTGGAAGATTGCTGGGGGAAAAAAGTGAAGCCTTTTTTTTTTTTTAATAACAATAACAATAAAATAAAAAAAATTAAAAATAGCTGTTTTTTAAACTCCATAAGCCTTAACAGCTGAGTGTTATTTGGTTAATTTTGGAATTTAACTGAATACATTGAATCATTGTTTCTCATGATCTGTACTGCCCATAGACATATCTATTACAACTTGTATGTGCATGTAGCTGAGCAGTTCATAAATAGCTACGTTTTTCTCTCCTGTTCAAACAAGCAGCTGTTCAGTGTTATTGTGAGGCAATATGATGTTTTCATTGTTAATTGGATTTCCAAAGGTACTTCCCTCCATCTGCATTTATTAGATAATTCTGTTAAAATCCTGTTGTGCAGCTTTGGAACATACTTACAGTTCTGTTTTTCAATGGCCTTTTTGTTTGCTTGAAGACTTGATTTGCATGTTAGTTGGTTTGGGGGATTTTTTTCCTTTTATAGGGGTTTTTTGCTAGAAATTCTGATGGCGAGACAGCTTGGGGAAGGTGGGAGGGGTGGGCTTTGAGAAGAGATCTTTCCAGGTGGAAAAGAGGAGTGGCAAATGAAGAGAACCTACCATAGGAGTGTGGTTGGTCACGAAGTATCTGTCTCTGAATACAGATTCTAGTGAAGCACAGGCTGAAATGCAGATTAAACACTAACCAAGAGATAATTACTCAGAGTATGTTTTCTCCTCCTTCTTCCTTGAACTGGAGGCTCTTGTTGTGGTCATGATGCACTTACTTGGCCACTTGCAAGTTGCAGCTCATCTAAAATGGAGAGCAGCTGGTGGAAAGCTGATTATGGACAAAACATGGGTTACCCATCAGAATTACAGGTGTGGGCTTCTTACAAAGCAATTGCCAGAGCAAACATAGCTGGCTTAGGGGAGATGCACAACAAACCATAGTTGCTTTCTAATGTATTGAGATGGTGCTTATAGGAAATAACGTGCAGGGATGAGATGTTAGATTTGTATTGACATGTAAAGTGATGATTAATTTGTGACTTTCCATAAATTGTTTTGCTTTTGAAACAATAATAGTCAATTAGTTGTGGGAGATTGAGAAAATATTGCTGTAAATTAGTTTTAATGACATTTGTATGCCTATTAACTAAAGCATCAAATAGTTTTGAGGTCTAAATGCTTTTTAACTCTTAAACAGCATTGTGGCAATTGCCTTTGTATTCCCACCTACATTCAGAATAGAATTAAAACAGATCACTGGACAAATGATGTAATGTTGAGCCTGAAGATAAACTTCCCACTTCATGTTTTCAGATCTTCAGGAACAAAGATAAAGCGGTAGTAATGCAAACCTTGGTTGGAAACCAGGATACTGCTTTTTGTGGATTTTTTGTACTGTTAATACAAAAGCTCAACTTTATCACTGTATGATGTTGCTGGGACTTGTTTCCACTTGGGGATTTGTTTTCATGTGATGTGATTTCCTTTGCGTACGTGGCACAATTAGTGTGTTTTTCTTAAAGGCTGGTCCCAACCACTCACCACTCTCAGTAAGCTTTATTTGCCAGATACTGCAACAGATAAGAGGCAAAGAAAAGACAGTATTGAAGTTACCAAATGTGAGGAGGAATTATATAAACGCTATTTTCCCCTCTTGTTTTCTGCTTGCTCTGTATTTGCATGTGGATGCTCTCTATGCTGGTTGGCTTGCTCATTGTTGCTTATATCTTTCATTTTAGCCTGTTTTTTGTTAAGTAAATACGTATTTAGAATGGTTGCTTTGCCTATAGGTTAACAACTGAATCCAGATTTGAAGCTACAGAAACCGAAGATAAGAAGGAAAATGTAATCACGATCAAGAAGAAAACACAAAAGAAAAAATACACTACATTGTATGTGTCTTCTAAGCCAACTCCTGAAACGCAGTGTGCTCAGCAATAAAACTTTCTGGAAGGAATCTGAATAATTTGGAGTCCTGCTTCAGCAGGAAGTACTTCTTGCACATAAACATGCAGGTTCCTGATACAGATCTGCCTTGTTTAATGAACAGTATGGCTGCATTAATGGGATGTGCACATCTGATGACTTCAGTTCCCAGAGGACCCCTGCTAAGTTCCCCAGTAGCGTGACCTGAAGTGTTGCCTGGTGCTAAGACTGAGCACTTGTTAGTTCTTGTTTGTTTGAGTCAGTGCTATTCTGAAAGATAAGTACTTGCTATGGAAGTTACCTAATGTGATAAATGAGGGTAAACCCCAAGCAATACCTGGTAGGCAATGGTGACTAGAAGAAAGCAAGCTGTCTGTATTACTCCTGAATTTCTTCCATTTCCTGGATTCAGATTTCTTAATGTTTTTTCCCCCTAATATGTATCTGCACCTTCACAGTGAGGTCAGTCTGAGAGTTGAATGTGTGAAACTCTCTTCACACACTTTGTGAGTGGTATTATTTTGAAACTTTATTTTTACTAATAATTGAAATAAACTTTTTTTATTCCTTCCTGAAGTTGATCTGTTGCATTGAAGACTAAATATTTTTCTCTGAAACTGCCATTTCTTTGAGAGAGATTTGATAGCAAGCATTTTGTTTAAGTAATACAACTTAATAAAAGCTGATAATTCACAATGCGTGTGCTGTGTCTTTATTCTTAGGAAATGAACTGTAACATTCAGTCTTATCTGTGATGTCTGTAATCTGAGAATCTTAGTTCTTGGTAATCTTATTCCAGCAGGTAAGCAGATACCCAGGGAAGAGTTCGTTCTTTTTGATGTTGACTGCACATATGAGCACCATGTGGAAGAGACTGTGCTTCTCTTAGTACAAGAAGAAAACATTTCTTTCCACATGGTTAAAGGATTAATTTTGTTTACTGTTAATATACACTGAGAAGCTATTAACATAAAATATGCAAAGTACTTGGTAGCTCCAATTAGAGGAAAACCTCAAGTAGGTCGTGCATGTGTGTGCCTTAAGTGGATATATTGCACTATAGATCGATGCCAGGGCAGTTACTTTTACACTGAACTACTGAGCGTGTGACAATTGAGTCCGTAAACTGAAGTAACTTGTTAGTGTCACAGGTAAAACAATGATGTTATTTCAACAAATGGCTCAAACTGCTTAGGATCATCTGGTTACCCCCAAAAAGTGTTGCTTTACTTGCACTGCTGCAGTTTATGTTGAGCATGTAGTTATCTCACATAATAAATGCATGCTTACCATTCTCTTGTATTAGAACTGCCAGGTGGGAGATCTGGAATTTAGACTTCCATTACTATAACATACTTAGGGTACTTTCTTTTAAGTTCATGAAAATACTTTGTTTATTTTCATTTTTCCTGTTCTCAGTTGCAGGATTCTTATCTCTAAGCTGGAAGTGATTGTCCTTAGTTGTAGATAATCACAGTTGCTCAGAATCTAGCTCATGTTAATAAGTATAACATGGAATGCCAGTGTGCTGTTTTAGCAAGTTATTTTTTTCTCATAGATTGCTAGCAAATCCTTCAACTATGCTTCATGAAGGCTTTTTTATTCTCTCTGGAAATATATTTTGGGGTACCTTGTGTAACAGAGAAGAAATCTGGCAGCTGGGGCTTCTTATAACTGCTGGTTAAAATAGAGAACTGGCATGTTGTGTTATCAAAAAATTCCTGACAGATTGTAGCACAGCACTTTTAAAACCATTCATCTGAAGAACAATTGTGAAGCTGTTGTGATACAAAGAACTTCTTTCTTGTGTGGGTGATGGAGCTCTGGGACAGGCTGTCCAGAGTTGTCTGAGCACCTGGCTGTGCTCCCTGCTGCAGGGAACTGCTTTAGCAGGGGGTTGGTTTAGGGGAGCTCTGGAGATCCCTGCCAACAATACAGGTCTGTGATTCTGTAATGTCCAGAGGGCGGCAGGATGGTCACATGGGTTTGCTGTTCCATACAGGACAGAAAGAAAATATAAGTATTTTCTGGTTTTCACATGTTTTAAACTTCAAGTAAAAAACATGAATGAATGTCATGTATTTGTCTCTAATCCTGTATGTTGTATGTAGTCCTGACAGTGGACAACTGTAATGCATCTCTGCGTACCCAAAACGTCATTATGTAGGTTACTTTGCATGGCAACCTGCATGAAAGTAGAGGCTATAATTTAATTTATATCAAACTAGTTGTTAAAATTTTGTTTAGATAATGAGTCTTTAGGATAGTGCTGCTTTGTTCAGAGAATAAAGAGAAACTGCAAATGTAGCATTGCAAGATGAGATGGGTGGAGTTTGAAATGCGGCTTTGTCTTTGCCTCATTTCTCATGTGAGAACGTGGCTGTAACATAAAAACAAATCCTCTTTCCAGAGCAGGTTAAAAGAAAGTCGTTTTCAAGATGTCTTGTGGAGTCAGATGATTTCAAGTATTTTTGATTTAGTTGAGACAAGAGCTCCTTGGCAACATGAAGGTATTGTTTCTGTGCCTGGGCTTTGCTCACAGTATCCCTCCACTGAGATGCAGGCTTGGGGTCATGCAGGACAGAAGTGTGGTGGTTTTGTTTCTTTTTGCTTGCTGATGTGTTACAGCCAGTGTCATGCAGCAGAAACACCCAGTATGGGTTTCCCCTCCCCCACGGCACTTGGTACAATATCTCAAGTTGAGAAAAGAGGAAGGAAGCTCAGAAGAGCAGCAAATCTCGCAGAACCCATACAGCTGCCTCAGCCGGCTTCAGTCTCCTCCTCGTCATCAGTAACAGCAGCTGAGAAACAGATTTGCTTCCAGCTCCTTTTTTTTGGTTGTCCATCTTGAAACCTGCACTGTATAAACCTCGTTTTCCTCAGTATTGGACGTCCTGCAGAGCTGCACAGACTGATGTATGATGGCAACGTGGCACAAGATGGAGAAGAGCGGCGTGGGTATGTAACTGAGTGAGCTGCCTTCTGAGTTTTGTCCTCATAACTTCTGAACAGGATGTGGGTAGGTGTTATCTCTGGTTGAGAACACCATCCACTTTGCCATGGTGGTTTAACTGAAATGATCAATTTCA